TTTTTCTGGGTCTGTATTTATTAATTGCCGCCTAGAACCGGGAAATACTTCTGCCCCATTTTATCTCCGCGACCTCCTTCTCCCGGTACTCCTTTCCCTTATTCTTGTAGAGGGCCTTTAACTTGTTTTTCTCTTATAGGTATCTGTGAGCCAATTGCTGGTCTGCCAGTAGGCTGAGTCGCGCTTTAAGACTGTCGAACGTTAGCTTCCTCTGCTCTCTATATTCGTCATCAAGCCAAGGGGGATCTTTATCCATGAGCGATTGCTTGCCTGGGGTTTTTACGATTCCCGATTTTCTGGCTGCGGTCTAGATGGCCTCTTTGATTTTCGCTCAAGTCTCCTCTTTGTTAAAATTATTGCCGATTATCTCAGGTACCCTTATTTCTAGCACTCAGAGCCTAGGTCGCTGTTCCTGTCCTTCCCTGTCCTGTGGCGGTCGGGGCCAGACTCTCCATCTCTTTTTTAAACTCTCCAGCTGAGGTTTCATTCCATATAATTTTTTCCACGGAGCTAAGCAAGTCCATCGACTCTTCTTCTGAAGCCTTGCTGTGGTTGGGCTGAAGCGAGATAATCTGATTCCAGACGTGGCAGTATTTCCAGGTCTTTCATCAGAGAACCTCGCGCTTCCTCCTTTACAAGTACCATGTCCACTACCGATCGGCACCCACTGCCAACAAACGTGACCTTGGCACTGGTCACTCTCGGTGGTGCCATTGACTACCAGCAATCCGAATTGTTCGCAGAGATCGAGCAGTTTCCGACCCTCCGAGTCTAGGTTGGGGTCTTTCGATCTTCTCGGGCGTGTCGTGAGATGCTCTCCGTCCTCCAACAGTGGTCCCGGTCGGGCGGCGGTATGGGATTTCCAGTCTCCGGCGAGCACTACTACGTCGCCGTTGATTTAAGCTCGTCTATGACGGGGGCTAGGGTCAGCATTATCCTCTTCATGCCAATATTGTTATAGACTGCTATTACGCTAAGGTTCTCTCCATCCCCTGTCTCGAGACCTCGTATTATTAGCCCGTGTTACCATTCCTCTAGCCATATCTTCCCTTTCAGGCTTTTCTTCACGCCAACCAGCACCCCTCCTGGGGCTCTGCCTTTTTTATACCCCACTATACCCCAAGTATAATTTTTGTCGTTTGTTCAGCCATCGCTCTTTATCCTTCTCTTCCACCTATGTTTCCTGGAGTAGCAGTATGTCGAACTCCCTGAGGAACTTCCAGGCACGTTTGATGTTTTTGATGCCTAAAATGTTCCACCTTACTCCATTAATCAAGTTAGCATCTGCCTCCTCGCCCACGAAAGGCTTACGTGGGAAGCGGTTGAACCTCCCATTCCTCTCGTCCCAGGTCCAGACATCATCCCCCACGATTAGATTGGGATACCCCATCTTCGCATGCATGTCTTGTTGCCTCAGACGCTCAGCCTCGTTCTGCAGTTCCTTTTGTATCGTTACCTCTCTAGCAGTGAGGTCATCATCTAGCCACAGGTCTTGTTCAGCGAGTCTCCTCAGGCTGCCTTTCTTTTTCATGATAGAGATCTTGTTGCGGCGAGACGTCCGCTGAAGGATAATTGCTTCTTCCACTATCAGCATCCTCTCGACCTCAGCGGTGATTTTAGTAGTTTGCTCAATTACGTCACATACATCGTATTCTAGAAAACGGAGGTTGTTTATGGGGCTGAGTCCCCCTAACCTCTCACTAGCAGATGCTTTTTCCTGAGTTTTCTCGCTTCCAATTCCATCGCTTCGAATTCATCGAGCTTTTCTTCTGGTAAGCGAGTCAGCAGTTTGGGCTCGTACGCAGTGGGGTGCGTCTGCATCCACCTCCCGGCTTGGCTGCCTCCTCTCTCTCTCTGCAAGGCTGTGAGCCGGCATTGCTTCCTGTGTACAAATGCCCCTACTCGTACTGCGTCTGCATCCCCATCCCAGTTTAGCTGTCTCCCCTCTCCCTGATAGGCTGTGATCCGGTACTGCCTCCTGTGTACCCGTGTCTCTACTCTCGCTGTGACTGCGTCTGGGAGTCGGGCCAATTTCGTGGGTTCCTGTGCTCATTCAGTGTGTTGCGCATGTTTGCCGATGGCCCACGATCCTCCTTTGGGGGCTCTGAGTTACGCTTGGTAAGCCCGTTGGTTGGGGACCTGTTCCTGTGGCTTGGATCTTTTATGCCTGATTTGGGGAGTCGTTGAGGAAGAAAGTTCATTTTGTCCTTCCTCAAGTTCTCAGTTGCATGCTCGCGCTTACTATACGCTTATGTGGCCTCTTTTTTCGTCTGGTAGCGTTTTTTGCCTGTGGGTATTGTGGGCTTTATCTTGCAGTCCTGTCGCTCCCTCTGTTGCATCTCCTCTTGGTGTCTTCCTCGTCCTGTTTGAGGTCCCTATGCCCCAATTGGCATCTGCAACTGTTACTCCTGCTGGCAAGGCCTTCCACTCGTTGTTTCAATGACGCTATCTCGTCTAGCAGACGTTGCTGCTTGACTTCCGATATCAGCTCATTTCTCATGCTAGCCTCCTCAGTTCGTGCTCCAAGATCTTCCAGCTGAGTCGTGAAATTATACCTCAGTCTCTCCACTAGTGTTTCAATCACAGCCTCCAGCGCTCTCAATTCGACCTTGTCAACTTCGCTCGTGCCCTTTCCTGGCACCTCTTGCATAATGACGTCGTCGCTGAGGGTTTTTCCTAGTGAGATCGTTTGTGTGGTACTCACAGTTCTCCCCTTTGGGATCACGAGAACTCTCCTGTAGCTGCAACAATGTGGTCTCTCCCGCTTCCGTTGGTTCCTTCTCAACTGCGCCATTGAACGTGTGCAGGTTGGTGCCTTGGGGAGGAGTATTCTTCGCCAAGTTGAGGTACCTATCTAGTTAAGTGTTTCTGAGTGTCGTGCTGTCCTCTCTATCTCCGGTGGGTTTGGTTTTGCCTGGAGGTCTGCCCCTTTTGCAAGGAGCGTCAGCTGGCCCCGCCAACACTGCTTTCGTGTCTCTCGTCTGGCTTCTCGTGGTGCGTTTGCAATCCTCCTGATTGTTCGGTTTGGCACCTTCCCAATTGTCTAAAGGTTTTTCCGGGACCTGTTCGATTATTTGGCTCAAATGAACAGGTTTCCCGCCGTTTTCGACCGTCCTGGTCACTCTAACCTCCTCCTCGCTAAACATTCCCATTCACCGAGTAATTACCGACTTGGAGGTTTTAATTTATCATTCCTGGTGGCCCGTCCGCTGCATGGACAATACTACGCACAGTTTTTTTTATTGAAAACTTGTTTATTTGCTAAATAATAGTAAAAAAAAGGAGGAGGGGCCAAGAAACGCCAAAGTCGATTAGTATAATTATTTTCCATAAAAATTTTTTCTTTTTTGGAGCAGTTGGGTGGCCAAATAATAATGTAAGTTATTACCGAGACTTGTTCTTCACTTATTTGGCTCTAACCCCTTCGCCCCCTCCCCTTCCGCTCCTCTGCGCAAAAAAGAAAAAAAATATGAAAAATAATTAATATTATTATGTGGCCCTAACCCCTTCGCCCCCCTCCGCCCCTCTGCTCCAAAAGAGAGAACAAAATATATCAAAAATAATTAATATTATTAACTAGGGGGCTACGCCCCCTGCTCGCTCCACTCGACAACCCCGGGGGGGCTTCGCTCCCCCCTCCCGGTGTGACCGGGAGGGTTTTTCCGATAGCCCTACACATACTTTACCATAAGAGGCCACATACGTATAATTCCGCCCCATATATGGGCACCCCCCATAAATGGGCACCCCCATATATAGGCACCCCCCATATATATATATGTACCTCCCCTATATATGGGTACCCCCTATATATGAGCACCGCCCATATATGTAAGCACCCCCCCATATATAGACACTCCTCATATATGGGCACTCCCATATATATAGGCACCCCCCATATATGAACACCCTCCATATATGGGCACCCTCCATATATGCACCCCACTATATATGGGCGACCGCCATATATATAGGCCCCATATATGGGCACTCCTCTATATATGGGCATCCACTCATATATGGGCAGCCCCCGTAAAACCCCCATGACCCTTACCACTCCTATGACCCTCGTGATCCTTAGCACCTACGACATTCAGAACCCCTATGACCCTCGTGATCTTTGAGACCCTCGTGACCCTTATGACCCTTAGCCCATCTATGACCCTTTGCACTTGTCTGACCCTAGTGATCCTTATGTGCCTTAGCACCTCTATGACCCTCGTGACCCTTATGACTCTTAGCTCCTCTATGACCCTTATGACCCTTAATACGCCTATGACCCTTAGCACCTCTATGACCCTCGTGACCCTTATGACTCTTAGCTCCTCTATGACCCTTATGACCCTTAATACGCCTATGACCCTTAGCACCTCTATGACCTTCGTGACCCTTAAGACCCTTAGTACATCTGTGACCCTCGTGGCCCGTAGAACTCTTAGTCCCTCTATGACCCTTATGACCCTTAATACGCCTATGACCCTTAGCACCTCTATGACCTTCGTGACCCTTAAGACCCTTAGTACATCTGTGACCCTCGTGGCCCGTAGAACTCTTAGTCCCTCTATGACCCTTAGGGACCATATGACCCTGGAGACCCTCGTGATCCTTATGACCCTTAACCTTTCTATAACCTTTATGACCCTTAACATGGCTATGACCCTTGGCACCTCTATGACCCTCGTGACCATTATGACGCTTAGCCCCTCTATGACCCTTATGACTCCTAACACCCCTATGAGCCTCCACGGATCCTTTCGGCGAAGAACGCCTTTACCCGCCGAGAGTTTTCGCAGGCTGGAAGGTCCTGCAACGTGGCACGTCCCCAGGTGGTGGATGGGGGAATGCTCGATATTCTGAACTGCCGTTCAGAATATAGGGTATCGACTAAATCAAATACGTTCGCGCGAACCAACACCTTCCGAGAAACCCAACTCTAAAAGTGGTGCGCAGGGCGGGCTCCCTATAATACCCTCGGGTCAGGCTCCCGTTAACAGCTAGTAATGAAAATGATGAGTGATGATAAAATTGAAAGTTCTCAGGCGGGTAGCCCCACAGTGGTAAATCCCGTCATCAGTCTTACTGATGCTGGTTCCATGGATTCTGGGAGGAGCCAATCATCATTACAGTCAACAAAGGTGGCCTCTTGGCCTCAGATGCTACAAGAGGGGTAGGGTCTCAGACCCAACAGAGCTCTGAGTGGCTGAAAGCCTTCCAACGACTTGAAGAACTTGCCTCCGGTCTGGAGGAATTCGTCCAGCCCAGGTCGAATGTCCACAAGGAAATCAAGTCCAAAGTGACTTCTTTGTGCAGCGTAGTCAGGAGACTCAAGGTCTTGGAAAGGCAGAGCGTCAGCATCCAAATCCAACCATCCGAGAAATCGCCGCGCATGCGATTGGACTCGGAGACGACGACTAAAGACTCAGAGATAGAAGATTCAGATGTCGGGAGGGGCGACCGCGACATCCGCAAGGCGCTCAGGAGAAAGCGGTCGAAGGACTCGCCGGGGATGACCGAGCAAACTCTGAAGAAGCACAAGAAGCAGTCGCCTCCCAAACAGGATGACCGATCCGCCAAAGAGCCTATAAAACAGGACTGGACAAGGGTCGAGCACAAGAAAGGGAGGAAGAAAGAGGAGAAGATCGAGAAGAAGAAGAGCGACCTGCCCAAGAAGCCACCTCACAGGAAGAGGAAAAAGAAAAAATAGCAGAGTCAGATACCCCGGAGATCAGCGGCAAGACCTGAAGCGCTGATTATTCGCCCCGCTGACAAGACGAAGTACTCTGATATACTTCGTCGTGTCAAAAAGGATATACCCCTCGAACACGCTGTCGGATGTGTCGACAAGATCCGCCGGAGAGCAACAGGGGATATGCTGATCATCCTGAGCAGGGGGACGACTGACGCAGCATCCAAGCTGCAATCAGCCATCACCAACCTCATCAAAGAGGAGGCCTAGGTGATCACTAAGGGGCCGCAAAAAGATCTCGAGATCAAAGACCTCGACGAAGCAACGACGAAGGAGGACATCACCGAAGCCCTACGAGCAGTGGCTGGAACGGACTACGACATCAAGGTGGATGTAGTCAAATCCCTTCGAAGAGCGTATGGAGGAACCCAGACTGCCTCAGTAAGACTCGAAGCTGGTACAGCGAAGAAGATCCTGGGGGAGCATGGGAAGATCAAAATTGGCTGGGTGAACTGCCGGGTCAGAAGAGTGGTAAGTCCGCTCAAGTGCTTTAAGTGCTGGCACTATGGACACCTATCCACTCGATGTAAGAGCGCAGTTGACCGCTCGANAGATTCCCAACATCGCGCTCAAAGCCGCCATCGAAATCGCTGCCGAGCCTATTCTTGGACGTCTACAACGAGTGTCTTAGGGAGGGTATCTTCCCTGCCAAGTGGAAGCAGCAGAGACTGGTGTTGCTCCCGAAAGGGAAAAAGCCACCAGACGAACCGTCATCCTACCGTCCTCTCTGCTTGCTCAACACAGCTGGCAAGATCCTCGAACGTATCGTCCATAGAAGAATTGAAGCAGCTGTCGAACCGCTGCTGGCCGGTAACCAGTATGGGTTTCGGAGAGGCAGATCCACCCTCGATGCCATCAACCTCGTCATCGACACCGCTAGGAAAGCGATCTCAGGGGCAAGGTGGCTCAGAGGCACGAAGAAGTACNAATCTGCTTATGCAAGCAGTGCGGGAATTGAAGCCAGATGTAGTAGTGATCTCGGAGCCATATCGANACAGCTGTCGAATCGCTGCTGGCCGGTAACCAGTATGGGTTTCGGAGAGGCAGATCCACCCTCGATGCCATCAACCTCGTCATCGACACCGCTAGGGAAGCGATCTCAGGGGCAAGGTGGCTCAGAGGCACGAAGAAGTACTGTCTAGTGGTGACCTTAGACATTAAGAATGCCTTCAATTCAGCCAGGTGGGACTGTATCATGNCTAGCCTCTCAATCGACGAGTTCACCGACTTCCTGGATCGGCTGTCTGAGGATGCGAAGCAGCGCTTCCCTGTAACGATAGTGGGCGACTTCAATGCCTGGGCAGTCGATTGAAGAAGTCAACAGACGAAAGACAAAGGCCAAGCTGTGCTGGAAGCCATGTCATCGCTGGATGTGATCTTGCTTAACACNAAGATTTAATGTCCCTGATTACCTTCGGAGCATGGTGGGCAACTACTTCACCGAAAGGGTATTCAGATACGATACAGAGGATGGTCCCAGGGAGTACAAAGTCACCGGAGGGGTGCCCCAGGGCTCGGTACTGGGTCCACTTCTGTGGAATATCATGTACGATGGCCTGCTGAAGCTGACGTTGCCGCAGGAGGTGAAGTTGGTGGCGTTCGCGGATGATGTGNAAAGACAAAGGCCAAGCTGTGCTGGAAGCCATGTCATCGCTGGATGTGATCTTGCTTAACACCGGCAATGAACCTTCTCGAGGGGAGAGGCGAGCTCAATCGTGGACCTAACCTTCGTGAGCAGTAATCTCGCAAGGAGAAACTGTTTTTGAGAGGTGACTGACATCTATACAGGGAGCGACCACCGCGCGATATCCTGGGAGGTACCCACCGGCCAGCGNATTGGTAGCGTTCGCGGATGATGTGGCCGTAGTCGTTGTAGGGAAACACCTCGAGGATATCGAACTCGCCTTCGACATCACTTTTGAGGCGGTCCGCACCTGGATGAACACAGTGGGTCTGAGCCTTGCCGAGCATAAAACCGAGGCCGTATTGATCACGAGCAGGAAAGCTGTAGAGACAATCACGCTGCATGTCGGGAATTATGAACTCACATCCCAGCCGTACATTCGGTACTTGGGGGTGATGATCGATGCCCGGCTAAATTTCAAGCAGCAAGTGGAGCACACGACAACCAAGGCATCCGGTNAGCAAAGCTGCAGAGACAATCACGCTGCATGTCGGGAATTATGAACTCATATCCCAGCCGTACATTCGGTACTTGGGGGTGATGATGAATGCCCGGCTAAATTTCAAGCAGCAAGTGGAGCACACGACAACCAAGGCATCCGGTATACGAGTAGCTCTTTTACGCCTGATGCCCAATGTTGGAGGTCCAAAACAGAGGAAACGAGCATTGCTGACGTCGGTGATTACATCAGTGCTGCCCCTATGGCATCTCCATTTGGGCTGATGCACTGCTGACCCTGGAGACAAGACGGAAAGTGGCTTCGGTGTACCGGCTGAGCACTTTAAAAACTTCAAGCGCCTACCGCACCGTGTCTGAGGACGCGGTGTGTGTCATCGCTGGAATGCTACCCATAGGGGAGCTAGCCGAGGAACGAAGATCCCTATATCGGCGGAAGCGAGCAGGATCATTGAGCGCAGAAGAACTCGCAGCAGACGAAAGACGGAAGAGCATCCACAGATGGCAACAGAAGTGGGACACCTCGGATAAAGGAAGATGGACTCATCGCCTAATTCCGCAAGTAGGTGGTTGGCTCAATCGAAATCACGGCGAACTGAATTACTATCTTACTCAGATGCTTTCAGGCGGATCTTCATAAATTTAAGCATGAGGATTCTTCCGATTGCCCCATATATACAGGTGCTGACGAAGACGCAGAACATGTCTTCTTTGTCTGTGCACGCTTTAGGTCGAGCCGCTCCGAGTGGGAGTCTGTACTTGGTGGCAGGGTCCTGCCCGTGAATCTGATGGAAGCAATGTTGTCATCGCAGGCAGCCTGGGATGCCACGAGCGACTTCGCGGCCGAGGTCTTGAAGGAGCTCAGAAAAGAGGAACGCAAGCGCAAAAGTACTGAATAGATGAAGAGTCTGATGGAACCTCCTGCTCACACAAAACATCATAGTTGAGCAGGGGGATGTGCATTAGACTGTGGCAAAGTGGAAGAGCGAACAGCTGAGACCTCCCTCACGAAGTAATACCTAACGGTGGTGCCGTGAGGGGAGGAAAGGTTAGTGGAAATTTGTCTGATTGGAGTTTAGTGTGTATTGGCAGTCACTGTCGGAGTCCCACACTCACTTGACGGAGGGAAACACCTATTTCCTCCCTCAGGTGGTCGTGCGTAAATGCATTCTCCCAACAGACGAAAAAAAAAAAAAAAACCCTATGAGCACCTCTATGACCCTCGTGACCCTTAGCACATCTATAACCCTCGTGATCCTCATGACTCTTAGCCCCTCTATGATCCTTATGACCAGTAGCACCCCTATGAGCCTTCGTCCTATATTCATTATATAGAGAGCACCCTTGAGATCCTTCCAGACCCTTCGAGACTTTTTAAGACCATTGAGACCCTTCCAAACCCTTTGAGACCCTGAGACCCTTCCCTGAAAATTTCAGCGTTTCCCACGCCAAATAAGCGGTCGCCCATATGACAGGTTCCCCACAGAGGAATCCTGTTCCGTCCAAACCCTTCTTAACCTTTGAGACCCCTTGAGAAACCTGAAAATTTCAGCGTTAGCTGAATTTACGATATTATTATATGCGATTGGCTCCCCTTCGCCGCCTGTCCCTCCGCCCCTGTTTCAAAAAAGAAGAAAAAATCATCAAAAATAATTAATATTATTTGGCTCCAATCCCCTCGCCCACCCCCCTCCGCCACACTGCTCCAAAAAAGAAAAAAGAATTATCAAAAATAATTGATATTATTATTTGGCTCTAACCCTCTCGCCCACCCCCCTCCGCCCCTCTGCTCCAAAAAAGAAAAAAAAATACCAAAAATAATTAATATCATTATTTGGCTCTAACCCCTTCGCCCCCTCCCCGTTCGCCCCTCTGCAATAAAAAAAATATATATATCAAAAATAATTAATTAAACGTGGCACAACGAAAGTCTTTTGCACCAGAAAATAAATAGCAAAAAGATTTCTTTCCTTCTTTTTTTGTTGAAAGATCTACCTACTCATGCTATCATTATCCTCCACACGCATCTTATGGGTGATAGAAACGCAGCCAAAAAAAACGTCAATTATAAAAATGATTCTCATCGACATTTTTGGAAAGTTTCTTTTCATGTCATTTCTTAGGCCTGTTATCCAGCTGAAAGATAAGAGAGACGACATGTGCTCATCTTCGTTGAGTCCCTTGACGTCCGAAGTAATTGTGAAAGAGGGAAAAAAAATTAGATTTTATTAGAGACATTTTAGACCCCTCCCGCCCTTCCATCACAAAATCCGAGACCCCCCCACCCCCCCGTGTTCTGAGGATTTTTTAGTTTTTCTTTTTTTCATGAAATGGGATTTCAACAAGAACGAAACAAAAATCCTGCGAAAACGTGAGAAATGAATTATTTATTTCATTGATACATACAAACATATCGATACAGTGTACTCTTTCGAACGCAAGTACCCAGTACCGATGCTTGAATGTAACGATGGAGTATGTATCGATACACGAAATATGGATATTTTTCAAACTTGCATTAACACATTTGCTCCAACGTTTTGGCTTTTATAACAAATTTTATAACAAATTGGTTTTCATAACAAATCTCGCGAGAGTCAAACATCACGAGGATCGCGCGGCTAACAAAGGGGTAGTCAAATTTCACGAGGGTCAAGAGGGTAACAAGGGGATGGTCAAACTTCACTAGGACCACGAAGGTCACAAGGGGATCGTCACACGTCACAAAGGTTGAAATCCACGAGGATCACAAGGGGGTCATGAAATTTCACGGAGGTCAAACATCACGAGGGTCATGAAGGTAACAAGGGAATGGTCA